CCCCAAACAAACGGCAGCAGAAACAGAACAATGATTCCTTAACTAAGGAATAGGCCATCCATGTTCTCAGAATCTTTTCGCCATTTGGTAGAGTTCGGAAAAACCAATCACGGCTTAATTTTCTTGCCACTCCTTTGAGCCCCTTGGTAGATTCTACAGGCCCTGGCCTAATCACTTCAGCAAACTTACAGTCAAGGTTCTGTACTGCTTTGTAGCCTCGAGTCACAAGTAATGTTCGAAGATTATCGGTAATGGAAATAGGCCAAGTTCCAATATCTTTGTAATCGCTGATAGATCCATCCTGAATGTCAAGAGTATCGATCACTTCATAGCTTTCGTCTTCCACCAACAGTTTCAATTGTTCACCTACTACCGCTGGTTCATTAGGCAAATCTTCAAATTCGGTAAGTCCGCCACTAGAAGACGAAACAGCTTTTTGATGAGTGGCACTAGTACTAGCTTCTCTATCAACTTCAGATTCAGCTGTTTCGGTAGTCGAGTCAAAATACTTGAGTAAAGATCCCTTATTTTTCTTATTTTCTTCCTCTCGGGCTTTTTTTTGCTTCCTGTAAAAATCACCGCTAGGCTTATGCCTCTTCATGATCTGAAAGTAACATTGATTTAGCTCGTAAGTTTTTAGGCCAATATAGGGGCAGCAAAATTTGAACCTATAGGCAGGTAAGTAATGGCACGGGAAGGGGTATTAACTAATCAGTTATAAAATTATTATTTTTTTTAACTATCAATATTTCGTGCTAAAACAGGTAATCTATTTATATTATTTTACATGAACTCGATCACTAAAATTTAAATACGTAATGCAACGAAACATTGGCTTTCGAAAAAGCGCGCATAATCTCCCAATCTCCTGCGTTCACATATAATGTGTTATATTTTCCGTGAGATCTACGATAAAAAGCATACTAAAACTTACTTACTGTTAAAACGGCAGCTTAGCGGGATACAAAACCGCGAAATACTGTTACGAATTCCCCAAAAATTCACTGGCACTGTCAATTCGACACTCAAGTCGCTTTGTTTTTTGTTAATTGAACAAAATGAAGTCAAGGGAAGGGCGCGCGGCGACGCGACGCGTGGGTGCTCCTAGAATACGTGTGGGACAGAGACAGGCAATATGCGCGCGCAAGACGGGGCGAATAAGTTACTGGTATTGGGAGGAAGGTACCAGGGTTGCCAGATGTGGTGATTTTTCACCAGATCTGGTAGTTTTTCATATGCTCGACAAAATATTTTTTCCTCATGTAGCACGGATCGGCGGCGGTTCCCTCTCAAACGGAGTCTACAGCAGGCTCGTACCACGTGAAGGGTACAAAAAGGGTCAATTTTGCCGCCCTACTATTGGTGGCGCCCGGGGCGGTCCGCCCCCCCGCCCCCCTCCTCGCTACGCCACTGGAGGCTAGGCCTTATCTGGGCCTTGTATAGGGTGAGATCATGCGGAGAAAAGTACTTCTTAGCCCTAAAGAAATAGCCTAACTTTTTCCCAGTAGCTGCCGCTATTGACGAGTTAAGTTCGTGCCAGAGTAGGTCCTCGGTGATCTGGACTCCGACCTGTCGAAATAAATGGCTCTTTGGCAGAACACGGCCATCCATCGAAACCGGATGAGCTTTAGGACGCTTTTTGTTCGTCAAGGTACAGTACTGTGTTTTGGAAGCATTAAACTGTACAAGATTGTTGCGTCCCCAAGCAGTGATAACGACCAGGAATCTCGTCAGAGAGGAAGTCCTCGCGAGTCTTCTTTTTTCCAGCTCAGCGGTAGAGATCGGCTTGTCACTCTGAATGCCTGCATGAAGAGTGCTGTCATGAGCGAAGCTGTGGATTGGGTTGATCGTGCAGGAAAGGAGGTCGTTGATATGTAAGAGGAACAGTGTCGGTGCCAAGACCGATCCCTGGGGAACACCCGCGTTGACGTTGTGGGATGAAGAGGAGAACCCGTCAATTACGGCGGATATCTTGTGGCCAGAGATAAAGTCAGCCACCCATCTGCAAAGCTTTTTGGTGAGGCGATAGGATGGAAGTTTGCTTAAAAGGACAGCGTGCCACAGCTAATCGAACGCTTTCGTGATGTCAAGAGCAACGACGTAAGCCTCACCATAAAACTGGATGAGTTTACTCCACAATTGCGTAACGTAAGCTAGGAGGTCCCCTGTGGATCGCTGGTGCCGGAAACCATCTTGTCTGTCGCTAATCAAGCTGTGACGTTCGAGGTGGTCCAGAAGCTCTAGGCTTAGACACCTCTAAGTCATCACTTATAACAGAAAACAGTGCTATAGGCCTGTAGTTGTACGGGTCGATCTTAGATCCTCTTTTTTGGGATGGGTTGGACATGAGCGAATTTCTAGTTTTCTGGGAAGGTGACAGATTCATAAGATATCTGGAAGAGACGCGAAAGAACTGGAGCAAGCTCACCTCTCCAGTACAATGACAGGAATTAAGTCAGGGCCAGAAGCTTTGTTGATATCGAGCGACAAGAGCACTCGTCTTACGGTCTTATGCCTGAATGTTACCTCCAACATAGTGTAGGTAACCCTTTGTTTTGACGGCACTTGGCCATTGGGGGAACGTCCATGGTGGAGTTGGCAGCAAAGATCTTGGCTAGCACTTCCGCCTTGCCCTTTGAGTCGAATACAATCACACCATCCTGACACGTAAGTGGTGGGAGGCTACTGTGTGAGAAGTTCTTTTCAATCTGCTTGGCCAGCATCCAGAAAGACCGACTGACATTGGGCTGTGACATTACCCTGTGCCTAACTCTTATATCGCGCTGGTTTTTGGCATTGCGAACCGCTTCGTTATATTTGTTGCTGAACTCGAAATCGGCTTGTGTGTTCTCCTCAGTGGGGTTTTGTAAGAAGGTTCTGTGGGCCTTGATCTTCTGCTGGCGTGCAGTATCACACGATTTGTTAAACCAGCCGTTGGACCCTGGCTTAGGCACTTTCACTGTATGAGGGATGTATTCCTCCATTCCGACGTGGATAAATTTGGTTATCGAAGAACAGACGGCCGACGCATCCGCGTCAGTGAAACAGACATTTCCCCAAGGAAAGGTAGAGAAGTCTCTGAGCCCCTCCCAGTCGGCATGTCCGTAATGCCAAATTTTGCGGCGTGTGCGAGTTTCTGCTGAAACAGGCAGGTTCAGACCGAAACCTAACCTCCACAATACTGTGGTCTAGGTTACCCAGGAGAGACAGGACAGTAGAGCTGTAAGGGACAGGATGCATGGTCAGAAAGAGATCCAGCAGGGTAGTGGCATGTGACGAGACGCGGGGGAAAAAAGTAGGGCCCGTCACCAGCTGGGTCAGCCCTTGATTGAGTAAAAGCGAACGCTTCATCTGCGGAGTGATTGATGTTCAGGAAGTTGATCTTGACGGCGAGGTATTTAAGAAGGTCATCCCAGTTATGGTCCGAGGGGTGCGATAAAGGCAGCAAATAAATTTGGGTGATGTTTTGGAGTTGAGGCGAAGCCACAGAATGTCCTTCTACAGACACATCTCTGCAGCAGGAAAGACTGCTGCGGACAAAGGCAACAGCTCCCCCGTTCTTTTTCAGATTGGAGTGCACCTCGTAATTTGGGAACCTAAGATGGTTAATCGGTGCAGACTCTGAGATTTTTGTCTCCGCCAAGAAAAGCATGGTGGGACGATTGGATTGAAAGTAGTGAATGGTGATGAACAGCATCAATGTTGCTGTTGATCCCGCAGATGTTCGTGAAACAAATTTTATCTTCGATGGTGTTCCCTCGAGTCCATCCTCCACCCGGACATTCTGAAAGTGGAGTGAGCTTACATCCGGAATTCTTAGTACTCGAGGGACCCATCATCATTAATTTATTTGTTTTGGAAGATAACCGACTGCATAGCTTAGGTGTGGTAACATGCGGACATTTATAAGACACCCTGGGAACCCCCTCGGTCGACTGGTCCTTTTCTACCACCTTCTTTTTGCGTGTTAATGATATTAAATAGACCTACAACAACTTCCGGAACAAGCTTTTGCCACGGCCTCGCTCAGTAGGGGCTGGGGTTTTTGAAATTCAATATAGATGTTACAGTTATTTTTCAGACTTTCGTTGTCGATCTTAGATTTACGGCATAATTGTTGTTTTCGAACCGGTGGTGATCGCATGTAGAAATATTGGAAATCCTTGGAAAAAACTATATCTGTTAGATCGTAATTATTTTGATATGTATGTTTGTACTAAACAAGTACAGGTATATAGGGCTGTACATATTCACGTATAGTGTAGCAGCTCTGTGATTTAAACGAATTCAATATAGCAACATAAATAGACAGATACGCGAGAAGAGATGCGGGACGTGTGGTATTGATTTTCAGCATCGATCGACGCAGTTTCTAGACAGGCCAAAGGCGGACCGCTGAACAAGTCTCATAAATGTCTATTTCCAATTTAGCCGTTAATCTAATACAAATAGTGCTTCGCTGCAACACCCACCCCGAATAAAATCAGTCAACGTTTACACACTTTTCAAATTACTATTGAGCAACCAACAGAACATAAATCAAGTGCCATCTGTATAGCTAATATATTACCCAGACGGACATCAAAAAATCATTATTCTCAGTTCCTGTAGCTATAACTTATAGTTAGTATGCCTCTGTCACCATGATGTGACAGAAAGTAACACAATGGTGTTAGATTGCAAAAGCAAATGTCAGACGTCTAGGGGAGGGGATGGCGCCCCCCCCCCTGTAAATCCGCCAGTGTGATCTCTTATGTAAACAATAATGCTGATCTAGATTCTTCGGGATTTGCTATAATGTTTTTAGAACCAGGCTGGGGAAGGTATATTTTTCATTTGTGACTTTTAAATGTAGTGTGGTTGTGAGTATTAAACATTGTTGTGTAAAGCCATCTTGTATGAACATTTATGTCTGTTATATATTCAAATTTCTTATGTTTTTTTTTATAAAATGGTTTACCGTCAAAATAAATAAACTACCTGATTTTCCATTTTTCCAGGGTTATGCACTATGTGTGATGGATTACGACTTCTTGATTTTGGACAATGCATTTCTAGTCCACAAGCCAGGCATAAAGGTTTACAAGAAAGACCCCAGGCGCTCAATGTTAGCAGCCAAAACAAACCAGCTCATCAAGAAGATCATATTCCCCGAATTAAGGGTTCTATATGGAGTTAAAAAAGGCTGTGCAGTGTAAGAGACGATTTGAAGAAATTTTAGCGTTGTACAAAGTTTTAGCCATATAATGTGTTTGTTAAACTAGATATGAGTGTATCAGTGTGACTATCGATGAAACTGCTTTTAATTTATAAGATTCTACGCCAGACGCCAAGTTGTGGAACTAGGCAATTTGAATTTAGACAGTGGAAATATATTCTTATTCTGTATTCTGATTATATTGAAGAGATTGAGCATCTCTTACAAATCTTTGAGACTACAGATGCGGAGTGTAGATATACGAAATTGGTTGTTAATGATTTCAGATATATCGCAATCAATTTGAAATGAAAGGTGGTCCAAATTCCATAAAAAGGACATTGTGATGAATTGGTACTAGTGGTGATTTTGACACGTGGGTGTCACAAATTTTTTCTTTTCAGACCGAGGCATTATTCTTTTTTACATATTTTTTACGACACCCGAATTCATATGGATGCATATCGGTTTGTCAAGCGAATGTGTGAGTTCATTGACACGATGCATTTACTATCCTAATACATACCATCACATACTAAATACATCATTTAGCATGACTTGATCCATATTTAGTAAGCTTCTTCCATTTCAAATACTTGACGCCTGGCCTATTTAAAATGTGATTGATTTTAATTTATTAAGAGTGTTATAAGCATCAAATAGTTGTAGACGTGTATTATTTTCAATTTTTATTTTCAGTAAAGCCATATTGACGGTTGATCTCCTATTGTATATGTCCTTTTCTGGCAGACACCTACACTTTCTTTTTTCGAAATTGACCATCTTTATGTATTTCTAATTGTTAGATGTCCCAGTGTCGATTGTGTTTAATGGTACATCTTTGTACCAGCAATTCTGTTTCAATTATTTGCGAAGTGTTCTTCGCGAACGAAACTAAAACGTCGTCCACGAGAAAATATTTCGCAATATCTAAAAAAAAGCTACTTGCATGTCCGATCACTAGAAAATGCACTAAAAAATACAACCCTATTTTTTGTATATTGATGTTAGTAAAAAATAATTTCTGAGGGTAATACTTGTTTTTATAAATGGATCTATTTTTTAAAATTCTTATACCCTTGGTAAAGACAACAACGATGAATAGTCAAACTGAAAAGAGCTTGAATCAGAGCGCACCGAGACGTATCTGAGCAGGACATCCGACGGGTCTTTTTGCGCGTCTCTATGTGGGAAAAGCCATTCTGAGAAGACACTTGAAAAATACATCAACAGCCGTCGTGCGTCGAAATGTGTCAGTCCATAGACACTTTTTAGTTTGGCTACTTATCAATGTTGTTATATTTTCGAGTAGTATTTGAATCTAAATCTGTCCAGCTTTATTATGATTTTAACTTTGATTTCAACTAGTATTATAAATACTGCTGCAGTATGCTATATTTTTGTAATGTAAAATCCTGTACTTAGTACCTATACTGTACCTCTAAGTGATATATACTTATATATTTATTGTATTCTGGATTATTTTTTCTTGCTGTATTTTACCATTTATTGTGCCTTACCGATCAGATGTGGTGATTATAAGTAAATGTAAAATGATAACTTTTGTACTCCTGCAGTATATGGTCCGTATCCTTCAATATGAAATAAAAGTCAAGAAAATGAATTTCGTTCTTCCAGCAGAATAGATACTTAACTACTCATACGAATCTATCAAGACCTAGACATCAGCTTTCTCCTAAATCCCTCGTAGTAATACGTCCTAGACGAAGACTTATGTTCCCAATGTTTTTGACAATACGAGTAAGTGCAACTGCGATGTGTAGTTGTGGATTTTTCATAGCCGAGTGCCATAGCCATATCGTAGAATTGCCCATTTCATAAATGATCGAGCCAACTAAAGGGGCATGAACAAAACATATGGAATTTGTCAATTTTGCAGACAATTCATGTTGTGTTGATCAAATGTTCCTATAAGTAAAATGCTCAGAAATGCTTTCTACTGGAGATGCAGGGTGTTTGTGCCTTGGCCCCTGTGGGTACGCCTGCCTGCACCATTTTAAGAAAACTTACTCGTCTTTATTGTCGTCGTCTTAACAATACATCGAGGGTGACCCACGACCAAACTTTGATACCCTGTATCTCCAACAGAAAGCATTTCTGGACTCTCTGCCCATTGAAACATTCGACATGCACAACATGAACTATCACTCTAGGAATTTTCATTCACTTTGACCATATTGTTAAAACGTCAACGTTAAACAATTTGGTTATCTACGACTGACCATATCGTAACATGGGTGTCCACAAAAACTACAAAAGCAACCCCAGGAGTTCTGGCAGTCCAAAGCATGAATTTAAGTGAGAACAGTGAGATTTTCAAAGAAAGCGGTGAGAAAAAAGTGATAGTGAATTTATACATAAAAAAGTGAGGTAATTTTCTGAGAAATTGAATACCATAATGTCAAATTTAAACAAATCATATAAATAAGAATGTGTGAAAAAAAACGAGATTTACTTATACAGGGTGTTCCTTAATGCTATGCGAATATTTAAGGGTGTGAATCTACATGAAAAATTAATGTATAAACTATGGTCTAAAAAGGTTTCCTTACAAAAACTCGGGGTGTTGGAAGTTATAGCAAAAAAATGGAAATTAATATTTTCAGAACCTCTTCTGATATTTCATTGATATTTAGTACGTAGTGAAAGTTAATAAAGTGGCATATTTTTCAATGCAAAAATAATTTTTAGCTTTAGCAGTGGCGAGCGTACGGGTATTGACTTCGATATTTTTTAAGCAAACAGTGGTACGCCAATGGTTTTTTGCCAAATAAAAATTATTTTTGAATTCCCCGTTCAATTTAAAACAAATGATCTGTCTTGAATTGTTTTCCTTCGATGCGCCATCTTTGAGTAAAAAAATAAAAACCGTTCTATTGTCTAACTTGCAAAATTATTATTAATTTAACTGGAAAAATTAAACACATTGGGGGTAATGAACAACAACAACTGACAATATAAACATAACATTAAAACCAACGAAATGATTACAAAAATTGTTGAAAATGACCCCCTTCGCTTAGTATGCATGCTTCCGCCCTCCTCATGGAATTGCGGACTCGTTGAAATATCCCTGGAGTATTTTTTATTCTATCACAAGCTGCAACTATTCTTTCTCTTAATTCCTCTACAGTATTAATGGGACTTGTGTACACTGGTGTCTTAAGAGCCCCTCAAAAAGAAATCTAAACTGTTAAGGTCTGGGGACCTTGGTGGCCATTCTTGGGGCCTACCGCGGTCAATCCAACGATTTGGATAAACAGGTCTTTGCTACTTTTTTTTACGTAAGCAAAAATATTCATACGATGCATAAAAGAAACAACAAAAATATAACGAATTCTTGTAATTGCAGGAGAGGTACTTATATCTATTAAGTATTCTTGCCCAATTGATTGAACCTACATTTTAGCGAACTAATGGTGAAAATTTGATATAGCTATTACAGATGAGTATTTTTTACACAATAGTTGACAAACTTCAGATTCTAATACTAGAGTACTTGTTATTAAGAATCAAGTGAGGCTCTATTAGATGGGTTCCCATGGCCACTTCTTAGGTTCATAATCAGATCATCTCCATGTCATAATAATATTGCATTGTGAATTGTCATATTAAACGTTCGTCATATTTTTTTTACTCCAACTGCCACGAAGGTATCGTTGGGCTATTGGGGGATACAGGGAAAGGGGGGACGCCACACGGACTCTTGACGAGGGAACACGTGTGCATGCAACATGCACACGTTCTGGCCCCGCCTACGAGATCCGCCGGGTGGTACGTCCGCGTTTGACAGTCGGAGATCGTCTACCACCTACGGACAATCACAACATCCATAGCCAAGAGAAAAATTTCTCATTTCTCTTGGGACGGGATTCTAACCCGCGCAGCGCACGGCGACTGATCAGGAGAACGAAGAGTCTACCACTGCGGCCACCGCTGCTGGCTAGTTACACTTGCAGACTGTGTTTCTTTCATTTGATATCCATAATATGGGGGTGACTGTGGAAATTATAAATCGATATTTTGCGGCGGCCGCCATATTGGATCTCGAGTGACGTCACGTTGCGCACTGTATCTCTCTTATCAAGCCCATTCAGTCGATAACCATATCATAGGGATAACTATAGAAATTATAAACGCCATCTTGCGGCGGTCGACATATTTGATTTGAAATGACATTTTGCTTATTGTGTTTCTTTCTCTCAAGCCCTGACATCTGATGCCCATATTATAGGGGTCACTATGAAAATTATAAATCGGCAAATTGCGGCCTCTGTCATATTGGATTTAGAATTGCTTACTGTGTTTCTCCCATCAAGCTCTTTCATTTGATGCCTATATCATATACTATAAAAATGATAAATCGCTATTATGTAGCATACACCATATTAGATTCAAAATGGCTGCAGTTAATTCATTGTGTATTATCACACAAACCAGACAGGAATACAAAATTTTAGCTCGATTGGTTAAGGATAATTGGTTCAAAATTCAGTTTCAGAATTTGACCCACAGATGCATACTAACGAACTAACATACTAACAGTTACTTGTAAAAAGTGTCACTGTTAATGCAATTCATATTAAAATCCCAACTCAAGCCAGGAGAAAATAAAAATGGTTCAGGGTAAGTTTGTATTTTCTGCCTGCTAGTAACTTCTCATGAAATACATATTTGCCTCAGCTTGGGGAGGACCCTGTACATGGGACAACTTTGTCAGCTAATTTTTATAAAAAAATGCACTTCATTTAATTTCGTGGGGCTTGAGAGAACGAGGACAGCTCCTTCGAAAACGTCATAAACTACAATATGTTCAGCGAGAGCGAAAATACAAAAGTGAGTCGCCAGCATCCCCGAAACCACCATAGTAATTGAGTATATTTTTGCCGTAAAGTCTTTTAATCTCACCTTTTTCCTCGTGTAGTAATGAATTATAAGAATTCACACTTCGAAAAACAACGTTGTTATTAATAGACTGGGATATCTAGAATTTTAGAAAAAAATTTAATAATTTAATAAGTGGTTTTAGAAGACTTTTTTGAGGGTTCTAGAAAAGATCCCGCATGCAGAGATATAAACAAGTTTGCCTTCTAACCTTTTTTAATCGACAAAATCACTTTCGGGTATATTACAAAAATCTTGGGTTATCGGAGAAAGTGGTCCTCAGATGGTTTGTAGGCAATGAAAAGACCATTAAAAATTCAATTTGTAGCGGTTCTCATAAAATTTTGATGGTAATTTTTTGGAGAAAATTGGTATTTGACGAGCTCTCCAGCGATATTAGATGGATCAAACGTACCCCTATTGGACCCATTCTCTTGCTAGATACTTGTTTTAACATCTTACACTATAAGAAATACCAGATGTTCTTGAATTAACTATGCAGAAACGGCTCGGCGAGAGTAAATCAATGTTTGCCCTATAAACAATTCCGTTGTTTATCACAGATGTAATTAGAATTCTCACCACTAAAAAGCTAATGAAAAGATATATACTAAGTGACATAAAACGCAACACCCAGAATTATTATTGAATTTTGATAGAAACTTGTAAACATATTTGTTATCATGGAAGTATACGCTGATATAAAATGTTGAAGACATTCCGAGCACTACTTTTTTTGTAAAGGCTTTTTTGTCATATCAGGATCCGAACAATATGAACATGTTTACTTAATATTCAGTGATTTTTCTGTGTTGGTTCTATTTGTTTCATTGCATTATCATGCTTAGAGTTCACAGACGCGCTAATTTCACTCAACTTTTCGAATTTTAGAGGGGTCGGATAATCGGGCTACGTGAAGCCGGATTTTCTTTTATAGAAGCGTGGTTTCAAGAAGGCCGAAATCGGCGAGTTAGAAGTACTGGACTGGATTACAGAGCGACGGGATCGTTATTTGAGGCAAGTAGCACTTAAAGATCGATTTTCCACAACAAAGGTAGTTGCGAACCAGTCCTTTGATGCTGTCGGAAGGGCAATAACAATGAGGTCAGTTTATCGCCGAATAAGGTCTTTTAGACTGTTTTCACACCGTCCCCATCTTGTACTACCTCTGACCCCACAGCATCGTCGGCAACTCAGTCGTGTTCAGCGATGAGTACATATTCTGTTTGGGCACACATGATGGCAGCGCAAGAGTAAGGAGTAGACGTGATGAAATCCATATTATTCCATAATATTCCATCGAACTGGATATTCATCGCACTGTGGGTGTTATGGTATGGCGTGCCATTGCTTACGGCAGCAGGTCACGATTAGTGTGTTTATTCGAGTTAGCATGACTGCCCAGCGCTATATCCACAAAGATTTAAAACCACATCTGCTTCCCTATTTGGAAATATTGCAAGATCCACTCTTTCAGCAGGACAACCTCATGTCGCACGTGATAGTTTAGAAATTTTAGAAGCGTCCGCAGTAAATCTGCTCCAGTGGCCTCCTCTTTGGTGAAAAAACATCATCTGGACCTTTAGGGTCCGCAATAACATTTCCTAAAAAACGTCCTAATCAGTACATAAGGGGACATGTTCAGCACCAGCTAGACGCTCTGAGAAAAAAGTCAACCAAACAGGTCCATACAATTGGTCCATAGAGATTCTTTCCGTGTCCTACCGGTAGTGCATCTGGAAACGTCGCCCCTTCCCGATACCTAACTCGGGCAAACGAAGCACCGTGGTAGCGTGGCCAGACCATAGAAAACACTATGCTGTTGCGAGGCAAAAATACGAGTGATTAAATAACAGTACAGTCATCACGGTCATCGCATGACGCCAACAGCAGCCGCGGCCGATAGGTGCGCAATCCATCTCCCGAGAATATTTCGGGACTAATGTACAGAGAAATCTGATGTGTGAAATATTTCCTCAATGTTGGGCACGAATTATGTAGTCGGAACTTTTTAAAAAACTTTATTTGGTTCCAACAATAGTTTACTGGACCGAACCGGAATTACAGTGTGTGTGTTCGCTATGACCGAGATTGAATGACTGACTCATAATTAACATACAATCGTTAATATAAACCAAAAGTGATGAGCTAGTAAAAAGGAATACAATACAATTATTATATCAATTAATAAAGTGTTAAATGACAGCAGCATAACTCACGTATACATGTACCAGCCTCAAGAAATTTAAATAAACCCTCTCCACCCCCAAAGTTTAACTCAATTTTTTCAAAAATGATTAGGATCCTCTGAAACGTCAAAAAACAACTACAAAGATTTTGCGTCCTTGTTTTTACATTATCTGCAATGAACACAATACAACTCTGAATATAAGCACTTTTTATGAGGGACAAAAATATGTAGACAAATTCTTTTCAACATTAGTTTAGTACATTTTCGTGACAGAAGAGGATTAGTTTGTGTCCATCAAGTATTGTGGAATAAGTTGAGTGATATTAAGACCATGCCGCGTGGTCCAGAAATTTCTTTCGATGTGAAAACTAAGATCATTGAGTTATCCAAATATGGTCAAAGTCAAGTCGTCATTGCCAAAAATTTGAAGCTGAAGCGTAAAGCAGTTTGGGCAATATTGAACAAATATAAACAAAAAGGTATCTTGGAAGCCTCTAAGAGAAGTGGTCGGCCTAGGAAACTAAATGCTAGATCAGTTAGATTAATAAAAGTAATTTCGTCCAAACATCCATTTAAACCCCCAAGACAAATAAAAGCCGAAATCGAGACAAAATGAATTGTCAGTGTTTCTACGAAAACTATTAGTAGAAGATTAAATGATTTAAAGTTATTTGCACGTCGCCCGAGTAAGAAGCCGCTAATCTCGAGGAAGAACCGTAGGGACCGATTATAATTTGCACGGTTGCGTCTTGATTGGAGCATCTATGACTGGAAGAGGGTATGTTTCAGTGACGAATCCAAGTTCAATATGTTTGGATCAGATGGTCTTCATTACGTTAGATGGCCTAGTGGACAAAGATTGAACCTCAAGTACACTTTGCCCACTGTCAAACATGGAGGCGAGTCTGTTATGCTTTGGTGGTGCTTTTCGCGGTTTGGGATGGGATCTTTATATAGAATAGATGGCATTATGGATAAGTTTGTATACACAGACATACTAAAGCTTGTCATGTTACCCTATATGGAAGACAATATGTCCTTAAGATCAATATTCCAGCAAGATAATGACCCGAAGCACACCTCAAATCTCGCAAAGAAATTCTTTCTGGATGAAAAAATACCAGTTCTCAAATGGCCTTCACAGTCTCCCGATATAAACCCCATTGAAAATCTATGAGAACACTTAGATAAGCAAATACGAGATAAAAATTATTCAAACAAGGATGAACTTTTTGCCGCTTTAGAGCAAAAGTCGAGACAGATTGATGAATCTTATATCAAGAAACTTCTACAATCTAAGCCGAGACGATGCCAGGCAGTGATTGATAATAATGGTTATGCTACAAACTATTAACACAAACATATGGTTGGTTTTCTATAATTCAATGAACTTTGCTTCTTTTTTCTATAATTGTTTTGCTTTGTCTATATATTTTTGTCCTTCATAGTTCCAGTTTTTTTCAATTAATTTTTTATTGAAGGGAGTCTAATGAATTTATTTCTGTATAAGTGACTATTATGCTATAACGAGTAATGTATACAGGTTGGTGTATTAATAAAACAAGTTAAAAAAGAAATACAGCACAATATTAATTTGTCTATATTCCTCTTCCTTTTCAATAAGTAAACTCGCATCCATTTTTTATTAACAACGTGAGATTATTAGCCGCCATTTAAGTAAGAATAACCCTTACCAAAACGAGTTATTGATTTCGGTCGATCACCGCGTGGTTACCACTTGATTTAATTTCCCCAAAACAGGGAACCCATTACGTACTATTATTGCTTCCGCCTGCTCAGTAAGTATTTATGGTTCGAAAAACATGAACATGTAAATGTGATATATTTCCAAAACAAATATAACGGTCAAACAATAACATGAGATAAAGCTAAACTTAGGTTTAGCTTGAAAAAATCTAAATAACAAAAACATTCACAATAAAGTTACATAAACAAAATCAGTCCACAAAGTACAAATAGGGATTTTGAAGTACAAGGTAACGAAACTTATTGTGTATGGAAAAAACAATTATTTTCCAAGCAATACTCGACATACCAATATTGCACACAAAAGCGCAGACCGTAAAAATATGAAAATAACGTGAAGTATAAAAACCGTTAATACTGTTATTCATTTGAAGAAAATTCCTAAACGTTTCCACATACACCTCAATATTGCTTAATGTTGCTACTGTGATGATTCGTCGTCTCCCATAAACCTCCTATAATTTAATAGTGCTTCACCAATTGTTTCATCAGAATATTTACATTCCTTTACTCCACACTGACATGTAAATGATTTGTACTTTACCAACCAGAACTTGTGTCCATAGTCAAAACTGCAACAAAGAATAAAAAACTGGCGTCAAGTAGATTGACTCTATACTTTCCACGCTTTCAAAACAACTTCAAGTACAATTTCCAATTAGAGAAATGGCAACCAAAATAAGTAGGCGTTCTGAGAAACATTAGTATTTGGACATACAGCAATGTAATTTCCATCGTCACATCTTGTCGCCAAGTAGGATCACAGTAATTCCCTGAGAAGTTTAAAACAGACCCCGTTTTACTTTTTAAGAAAATTATTTATTTTTAAACGTGACATCAATCTTCTAAAAAAAGATCACCGCCTAACCCCCTTCGAAATTATTAGTAAGATTTCGAATTCTCAGAATTTCTCAAATATGGAAAACGAAATCTTATAACCTGGAGCAACACTGCGAGAGGTGGCGACACTACAAGTGGTGATAACAACGCTAACACGAAAGAAGGTGGTCGACACATTATACAGTGTTCCTAAATGATACGCGAATATTTAAGGGTGTGAATCTACATGAAAAATTAATATTAGTTTGCTTTATTATCTATGGTCCAAAAATGTTTCCTTACAAAAACTCGGGGTGTTGAAGTTTTAGGACAAAAATGGAAATTAATTAATATTTTCAGAATCGCTTCAGATATTTCACTGATATTTAGTACATAGTGAAAGTTAAATCTGCATATTTTTCAATGCAAAAATAATTTTTAGCTTTAACAGTGGCGTGCGTACGGGTATTGACTTCGATATTTTTTAACAAAAAAATGGTACGCCAATGGTTTTTTGCCAAATAAAAATTATTTTTGAATTCCCCGTTTAATTTAAAACAAATGATCTCTCTTGAATTGTTTTCCTTCGATGCGCCATTTTTGAGTAAAAAAAAACCGTTCTATTGTCCGAGAAAATTAATGTAATAATTGAAGAATGCAATTTAGCAATAAATATCTAGTTGCTCTGGAATATGTCACTGGCTTTTGACATCTGGCAAGTTTCTCGTATTCAAATCTGTTCGCTGAGACATCTTTTTCATTATTTAGTTTTTACAATCTTGTTAATAATGGTGAATTATTCAAATGGAGAAATGGCGGAAATGCATTACGTATATGGCCTTGGTGAGCAAGCCAGACGGATTTATCACCAGAGATATCCCGATCGTGCTTTGCCAGATAGTCGAACGTTTTCTAATATTCATCGTCGTCTTGTTGAAACTGGTTCTGTCCGAAAAGGAACATATGAAGGTAGACCTCTAAGTGTGAGAACACCTGAAATTGAGGAATCAGTGCTGCACGAAGTCGAAGAACATCCTGATACGAGTACGAGGAAGATCGCTAGACACTTAAATATTTGCCATCAAATTGTTTGGAGAATTTTAGTGGATTTTTTGTTATATCCTTACCATATTTTAAGATTACAGGCATTACTTCCCATTGTTATTCCAAGGCATGTGACCTTTTGTCAGTGGTATCTTCAAAAAATTACACAAAATCCGCAATATGAATCAATGATTCTGTTCACGGACGAAGTTAATTTTTATCGAAATGCCATTCAGAATTTCCACAATAATCATTTGTGGGCAGAAGAAAATCCCTATGCCGTAACCGAAACCCATTTCCAACACCAATTTTCGGTTAACGTATGGGCAGGAATTATTGGCCACTACTGTATCGGCCCATTCTTCTTGCCGGGACGACTTGACGGACAGACTTTCTTCAACAACAGTTGCGTGTGCTGCTTGATGATTCTCCGATAGTAATAAGAAACAATATATGGTACATGTATGACGGTGCACCAGCGCATTTCAGTGGAGCGGTTCGTAATTATTTACAAACTGTTTATGCAAATCGTTGCATTGGCCGCGATGGGCCCGAAGAATGGCCACCAAGGTCCCCAGACCTCAACAGTTTAGATTTCTTTTTGTGGGGCTATCTTAAGACACTAGTGTACACAAGTCCCATTAACACTGTAGAGGAATTAAGAGAAAGAATAGTTGCAGCTTGTGATAGAATAAAAAACACTTCAGGGATATTTCAACGAGTGCGCAATTCCATGAGAAGGAGGGCGGAAGCATGCATACTAAGTGAAAGGGGCCATTTTCAACTATTTTTGTAATCATTTCGTTGGTTTTAGTGTTATGTTTATGTTGTCAGTTGTTGTTGTTCATTACCCCTAACGTGTTTAATTTTTCCAATTAAATTAATAATAATTTTGCAAGTTTTTATTTTTTTACTAAAAAATGCCGCATCGAAAGAAAACAATTCAAGAGAGATTATTTGTTATAAATTAAACGGGAAATTCAAAAATAATTTTTTTTGGCAAAAAACCATTGGCGTACCATCTGTTTCTGAAAAAACATCGAAGTCAATACCCGTACGCACGCCACTGTTAAAGTTAAAAATTATTTTTGCATTGAAAAATATGCAACTTTATTAACTTTCACTACGTACTGAATATCAGTGAAATATCTGAAGCGGTTCTGAAAATATTAATTAATTTCCACTTTTTTCCTTAAACTTCAACACCCCGATTTTTTGTAAGGAAACATTTTTGGACCATAGATAATAAAGCAAACTAATATTAATTTTTCATGTAGATTCACACCCTTAAATATTCGCGTATCATTTAGTTATACGCATAAATGGTTCGCGGTGGCATGATACGTATACATATTTTCGCGCCGGCACAACCTTCAATTGGACTGAGTATTTTCTGACGGAATATGTTAATCAATGCTGTAACTTTTCATCGAGTAAAGAAGCCTTTTAATATTTCTCGGGCCGCACATAATATTATTTTAAAAATATAGTAAAATAATTCACCTTAGCTCCTCCTCAGCGGCGATATCCTTTAGGGCAAAAAAAGCTATCCTAGGAAACCTCAGATCTTGATGGTCGATAAATACTTTGACAGGATGCAAATTCGGTGTACATGAGTGATTTATGAATCTCGCAAAATTTCCATAGCGCTTCGCATCTACACAGTAAGAATCAACATCCTAAAAGACGTTTATTCAGCAATTTTGACAATTATAATTTCGTGTCATTTACCTTGTTATCGAGATCAAATAGGAAATCATCCTCATCCCTACTATTGGCTTCGACATCAGTCAGTATCTCTCCTATATATTCACAGACGTAACTACCCTTCGGAATGAACCTCAACGTTTTGACACCCCAGCCTTTATACTCAGTCTTATACAGCTGGAAACGTTGCTGGATGCCCTTTTGTACTAACCTGTTTTTGCATGTTATGGCATTGCATGCGCATGTTTCGTTGCATTCGAACACCATTGGCGGATCTGAAAATTAGAGAAAAAGTAATTTTGGACCTATCCTACTGGTATTGATTTTAAGACTTTTTATACCGAAGCAGCTGCGCAGACAGAAGCCTAAATACCAGGGCACTGCTGCTGCTACGAGGAGCTTAAAGAAACTTTGTTCAACCGATTTTTGAACTGCCTAAGGTTAGTAGAACTGGAAAAAGCCTCCTCAGGTAGGTGGTTCGACAGTCTCGATACTCTAGAGACAAAGGAGCGGTCGTATCGGCCAGTTGTGGGTGTACGAAGTTCATCGCATTTAGGATGGGAGGCCGAAGTCAGGCGGGTCTGTCTGACAGGCAGCAGCGGTGGCCGCAGTAGTAGGCTCTCCGGTCTCCTGATCAGTCGCCGTGCGCTGTGCGGGTTCGAATCCCGCCCCAAGAGAAATTTTTCTCTTGGCTATGGATTTTGTGATTGTATGTAGGTGGTAGACTTTCTCTGACTCTGACTGTCGAACGCAAAGGTACCACCCGGCGGATCTCGTAGGCAGGGCCAGAATGGGCGCATGTGTGTGGTGTTCCCCCTTTCCCCTGTATCCCCCATAGCCCCACGGTACCCCATGGGTGTTTAGGCCTTAGGCCTTTGTGGTAGTCGGAATATAAAAAAAAGCAGTAGGCCTGTAGTTGTGAGAGTTGGTCTTAGATACTTTTTTGGGATGGACTGGACGAGCAAATTTCCAGTTTTCTGGGAAGATGCCAGATTCATATAATCTGGAAGAGACGCGAAAAAACTGAGACAAGCTTCCGCTACACATTTCTTTAGTAAAACACCATTCAAGTCCGGACCAGAAACTTTGTTGATGTCGAGCGTTTTACGGACTTATGCCTGAAGGTTACTTCCGTCATACTGTAGGGAACCCTTTGAATCGACGGCACCCGGGCCTTGGGGTGGAGTTGGCAACAAATATCTTTGCAAGCACTTACGCCTTAGCCTTTGGTTACAGTCGTTCCATCCTGGCACGTGAGCAGTGGAATGCTCTTGAGAAGTTCCCTTCAATATGCTTTGCCAGCGACCGAGAAAAGACCGACTACCATTGCACTGCGACATTACCCTGAGTCTAATTTTTACATAGTGTTGGTCTTTGGCGCTTTGTTAAATTTGTTTCTGGGCTCGACGTAGTCTTGTCTGTTCTCTACAGTGATGTTCGGTTTGCCTTGATCTGATCTGCCGACGAGCAATGTCGGACGATATGTTGAATCAGCTGTTGATTTAGGCACTTTCACTGTACATCCAACGTGATAATTTCGGAAAGCACTGTCAAGGTAGGGCACAGTGAATTACTGGAGATATTAGATCAATATTCATAGAGATTTACGCCTTCGATAAAAACAAGTTTTTTATTGCCGAAAAAAAATTTTTTTGGTGGAAAACTGAGCTAAGTACCTGAAAAGTTGTAATCTGGTTGCAATCTGCCATCTTCCGTATACCAACACTTGGCAGACAATTTTCCACATTCGCATTCTTCCGAGGTACAACGATCTTCACAACTACACGAATGTAAGGTAGTGAGTTTCTTATCTATTTGAACATGATTAGAAGTTGTACAATTTTTCGTTATATAAATATAGTCTCTTGGCTCGGATTCATTATCAACTGTGTTGATACACTGAATAGGATTCATCTCTCTTCCTCGGGATATATCACTAAAAATTAATAATTTCATTAGTACATAATTATAGTAATACAGACCCGAGTATTTTTTTATACACGGGATATGTTGTGGTAGGTAATGTTGCAATATTATTGGGAAATGATAGATATTAGAAGCATTTATTAGCAAGAATAATACCAAAACAATAATTTCGAGTTCATGTGCAATGTTTTTCACGAAATACATTTCTGGACGTGTTAGTCAAAACAAGCTCCAACATTGTGTAAACATTTGAAGTCCATATTGAATACTAGTAAAATTTATTTAAGAGACTCAAAAACGTTGGAATTTAATTTTTAAGTGGTTTCAAGTTGGAATATCTACAGGTAGTCGTACCTACAACATTTTTATGGTAACAAATCTATGCATTGATTGATATTTCTTTAGTTTCTTCTCACCTGCACAGCAATGTTTTATGTCTCTTGCCAGATCCAATAATGGCTTGCAGCTTAGCATTAAGCGCGATTGGACCACAACAGTCACCACCAACAGGAACACAGTCTAAAGGAGATTCATTATTTTTACTCAGGGCAGTAACGCTGGCCCCTCTTGCTAACAGTACAATGGTACAGTTGTATCGATCTTCTCTAGCTGCTATATGTCTGAAAGAATAGTACTTAACATCACTGCAACATAGTTTTACCACTCGCCAAACCGGTTTATAACCACACGTGTTTCGCTCTGTTAGATCGTCAGAGAAAGATTAAAAGAAATTATAGTCTTCCCTGGAAGGTACTAACATAACTTAGAAAGAGTGTTTTGGCGAATGGTAAAACCAGAAAGTAGTTATATAAAGAGACGAAGGACAAGGCGAATAAAATTAGAGAGAGATAAGAGATGATTCCAAAAACATGGTGTCCACAAAACAACTGATGGCATCTAAACATGGATGTTCTCATTTAGTCGTAAATAAATGAGTTGTTGCCAGATAAATAATCCTTTTTGGATGAATTCATTGACCATCACTTATAGTGAACGCATTTTTTGTTCAAATTTAGATTTATTCATGATGTGGATATTTATCATCCGTTTGCAGCCTACGAGATATGTTTTTCATTCAATAAAGTTTGTTTGTTTTAGATTTATTTAGCGTTAATGCTACAATATCCATGTTACACAGTATAACACAATATATTATGTCTTCAAGACTACTACTATTTTTATACAAAATTTCAGTACTATGAATTTTGTAAATTAAAGTCTATACTCCCTCTAGTAGAGTAACTATGGCACTCACTGTTCAATACAATTTTCTAAGGGATTTTTGATATTTAACTACTGTAGTTCTTTCAGCATAAAATTTATTCTAGAAAATTCTTATTTAAGATTATTCTCATAGCTCTATTTTGTAATATTTGTAATTTTGAAAATACAGTTTCAATTGTTGCAGTGAACAAAATAGTCGAACAATATGATGAAGAATTATAGTGTTGTACACAATTCTTTTAGAATAAACGCTTAGACTATGCGAAATTCTATAAAAGTAATTTATCTTTTTATATATTTTTATATACTCGTATTCATAGTCTCCCTCAAATTTTAATTTAGTATCTACATATATGCCCAAATATTTAATTGACTTAATTGTTTCATGATTAATCGTAAGATTTATCGTATTCTCATCTAAAGATTTTTCAGCATATATATTGTGTTTTGTTCGTGTTTGAGTTTAATCACATTTAACCAATTAATTATGTTTTTCATATCATTGTTTAACAGCTCTATTGCAGTTTCAATGAGTTTATTTGATATATATATATGTATATATATATATATATATATTTACATCTCCATGTGGATCGGTAATCCTTTCAATTCCCAGCAATAAGTCACCTACCAGAAATATCGAATATATATCAAATTTGATTCGTGTATATCCAACAAAAAGGCAAACTGATCCAGGATCAGCTCAAAAAACTGTACATTAACATTTCGGATTTTCATATAAAGTCCGCTATATAGGTCTACCTTTTAAAAACCGTAAGATGTGTCCTCTACCGGAATACCCTTCAGATCACAAAACGGCATTCGGTCCCCCAGAATACTCAAATTAACTAAACACCAGTAGATAAGTCATCCGTGCAGTGGTGCCAAGTTTCATTTATTTCTCTTTACATAATACTACTGAAGTCTCCTAACTTGGACTTGTATTATTATATTATTTTTCAAGGATCTCCAATGGATATAACCAAAATTCTTTCCAGCAACTTTGAGTACACTATTTGCTCGATTAAGACTATACAAAACGTTGCTAGCATACGACAGAAGGATGCCCAACGTTTCGTAAATTATAACTTACCTATGCAAAAATTATCAGATCATCGAGCAGCCCACACAATCAAGAATACTTTTTTCTATTACATGTCCAGGAGGTTGTATGAACTTTCAGATCGAGCACTTTGCTTTTCCAATAGCCTATGTCGTATCGACGACATCCTAATGATGATAAGCTTTAGACGCGTAATTTCCAAATCTGTGATATTAGCAGTTGAAATACTTCCCTGCCCTCCGGTTCGCAAAAAACAGCATTGAGTATCCTAAAATACTTGAATTACCTAATCACTATACTAAGCCTTACAATCATGTGACGTTATCTTTGGATAAGGAAATCACCATTCATGTTTGGTACCATCTATCTATGAGAATATTCCTAATCTTGAAATAAAATCGTATATCAACGATTTTCTCTAATAGCTCAGACTTAACCATATAGTCACGCCAACCAAAAGCCATATGATACAATCGTCCATCAAAATACCTTCGGATTCACAAAAAAACAGCACTGAGTCTCCCAAAATACTTGAATTTACTAAACCCTGCTAGATCGGTCTTCCGTGCAGAATAAATACACTTCTACCCTACGATTCACAAGAAACCAGCACTGAGTCTCCCAAAATACTTGAATTTACTAAACACTGCTAGATCGGTCTTCCATGCAGAATACTCTTCTACCATACGATTCACAAGAAACCAGCACTGAGTCTCCCAAAATACTCGAATTAACTAAACACTGGTGGATCAATCTCCCATGAAGAATACTCTTCAATACGCAAACCAGTGCTGAGTCCTCCACAATACCCGAACTAGCTGAATGGCGTACGTCTGACGTCAGATCGGTCTCCCGATCATTTTAATTCCAGTCAATAAAGCGCGTGCGCCCGGGGATAGGGTTTGTCGGTTTGTCTAAGATCTGAGAATTCATTTTATTGGCACCAATCGTGCTGGAAGGACGTTCAAATCTGTTGTGTATTCAAGAGTGTGTCTGAAAGGACTGTTGAGGTAAGTATGACTTTTTGAACTCTTATGCAATCGTTAATAGGATATGATGGTAATATGACTGTATTACTTACATTTAATGGAAAAGCAATGAATATTGAGTAGCGTGAAGGATAAAACAATGCTGTTCAAAAGGTCAACCCCCATAAATTTTACGCCAAACTTTATCTAATCTTGTTGGTTTAGTTTTGTATAGGTGATTCTTGAATGTAAAGCTACAATGTTTTTTTTTTCAAGTTAAAGAACAGGGTCAAGTAGATTGAGTGTGACCATACATCACTGAAAATTTAAAAATAGAATACTTCAATCAAAGCTCATTTTGGCTTTTTTCTAGCTGCTGCTTTACATCTTTTTTAGGGTACATACCTGTATATGTACTGATTCCGTTTTTTGCATTATAATACAAAATCACTACAGACTGTGCTTTTGACTCACGGTGTCAAGTAGCTCGACTTTATATGTAGACAATGATAATTTTAAACGGGAGATTGTGTTGATTATTTCCTATATGGTACAGTAGCGGGGTGATAAAATTCTAAATCTAAAATTGCAAATCAGAGATATCATGTTTTACTTCCCACGTCAACGGTCGAGGAAGTATTGTAATCGCAAGATATTTTGAAAGTGAGGTATTATGTTTTGTTGGATGCTATATGACATGTAGATCACGGAAAACCATGATACTCATTTCTGCTATAACGTGGAAAGTACCATTGGGACTTTGATGAAATTTAGACACAAGGTTGCTACGAGGCTATGGACAAGAAAGCTTTAGCTTTTAAAAATAGGTCCAGTGGCGTCAGAGAAAAGGGCCACAAACGAAAAAATAGAAATCGCTCAAACTTTGTTTTTTGACGATTCAGGGGCTCTTGATCATTATCCAAATAAATTTTGAGGGTTAGGAGTTGATGAGGGAGTGAATCGTAATTTCCTAAGGTTTTCTATCGGATCTATTTGACATATCTGACTTTATCAAACATTTGCGTAGAAAACAGGAAATCATACCTATTTCCTGTATCTGTACACTCAAAAATTTCTAGTGTTAATGCATGGATATAGTGTTTAATGATAACACATTACGTATTATTGAGTTTGGTAAAATTTCGAACATCATTCACTGGTATTGCTACTAGAATCAATTAAAAATAAAGTATTTTACTTTGACAATCAACATATACTATTGCTGCACGGAAAAAAATGGCTTGTGGATGTCAGTTCATTGGGAAAAAAGCTAATGACAAAAATTACTCTAATATAATTGGCTTTTTGACATTTTTGAGAGCACTCTTATCAAATATCTTTTCACTAAAAACAAGCATGTTGTATTCTTCCTGAAGATAGTCGATATTGTATATCTATTATTTTTTGGAATGGTATTATTTCTCTAAGTTGAAACGGAATAATTACAAAACAATATATTTGAACTTTTCCAGGGAAAGCCTTTCAATATGAGCAAAAATTGGTTTTGTAACAGAGGTCTATCACCTATCACACAGCATCCAAGAGATGAAGAAAAAGATAAGACTTCTGAAACAGTGATTACTGATTCACGTAAGGTGTCATCTGTGGTTAAACAAAACAGCGACCACAGTGACTGCAACTCGGTAAAACATAAGTATGTTTTTTTTGGTAGAGTTCCCATATTTATGATTTATTCTAGGTAATATCTTCTACATCCCCCAAGATATGCTGTACACCCCCATCATCATCAATATCCGGTTTATCAGAAAATGTTCATTGCAGTAACTTGTGCAAGGACTCTGAGGTAATAATCATTCACTGCCTAGTCTGTGAACTTTTTTATTCTATTGAACCTTTTTCAGTACAACGTTACCTCGAATAACGAGAGCATAGTGGAAGATCCAGACCACCAAAGTGAATCTAGCTCGGTAAAGCAATATTATGTATTCTTTATGAAACATGTCTGATATATGTCATTCATTTCAGTTCATATCTCTTACTTCGCCTAATATATGCTGCACACCACCATCATCTTCTGTAATTTCTGATGCAGAAGATGAAGATTATAGTCCCCACACTAGTGAAGAGGCTGAGGTAAATATATTACTATTATTCTACTCAAGTACCCATTGAAAAATTTGGATTGGGTGGAGTTGTGTAGCCAATCCGATATTTTAATTTTGTAATTTTACAATTTTAATATTTTTCAACTTTCAAATTTTTTGATTTTTCGACTTTCCAATTAATAACTATAACATCTTTTCCATCAAAACGTTGCTATGTGAGGGGAATCTATGATGTTTAGAATGTGTCAAATAGATTGCGAAGAATTACTAGGGATGGAAGTGTATCATTAAACTAAATA